GATGCCAACATTAACTACAGATGGACTTTACCTCAGTCAGTTCAACACCTTCAAAGTGCTGAAGTGGGCAAAAGATGTTTGTCCCTGCCAGGCCCACAGACCTTGCAAAGCCTGAGTTCCAGCTTAAGAATTCAGCAAGGATACAGTTTTATGTTATGTTAACCTGGAAAATAAACTCAGTGAGCTCTTGTTGTTCATCTCAACTTTTGGTTGGGATTTTTTTTTTCCATGTGCAAAAGAAGTTGGGAGTAAGAGTTTCTGCTCTTTGGGTACCAAGGCCAAAAAGCTTCCTGTTGATATTAACAAGGTTTGCCTTTAGTTTGCTCTTAAACCAACCATCCCCTCACTCCTTTCTCTCAGTGGCAGGAGGATAAACAGCAGGGAAACAGAAAACAAACAAAAAAAAGCAGATATTTAATGTTTTTCCACCAATTCCCACTGAAGTCAGTTATTTCCTCAATTTCTCCCTATCATAGATTTTATCCCAGACAAGCCTATATTCCCCCCCAAAACCAAGCCATGTTGATTCAGCCCCTGAAGGGTCTTCAGACAAAAACTATCTTCTATTTCAACAGAATAAGGTCATGTTTTTTTTTCTTTTTTCCTCTCCAACTCCATGGTAAGTTCGACTGCAATAAAATGCTGACACACATTCCAAGCAGGAAATATTCCCCCTGCAGACTTATCCTCGGAGAAAAGATCCAACCAGGAGGTCAGAATGAAACCAAACCACTGAGCCATCACTGACAGACACTTTCTACAGCACTGATGTCCATGGCTCAACTCGTGTTCCAAGGGCAACTCAAGGGGAGGGGAGGAGAAGGAAAAAATAGGGGAGGGGAAAGTCTTTTCCAACTGAGCTGACTCAGTGGTTCCCAGCCCTGCATCAAACCCACGTGGAATTCCAGTATTGCTGCTTTGGATGGGAGGTGACAGGGTGGGATAAAGGTCCCTGGCCAGTGGGATGGAGGGGGACAGGAGACACTGAGCTGTGCAGGGGAACACGAGCAGCCTCTGCAGGCCCAGTCTTTCAAGGCAAGGGAAACCCCTAAAACACAACCCAAATCTGCACCTGCATTACAAGATAACATAATATGAACTAAGATGACCTCAGCTCCGAGTGTATTAATGCACAATTCTTGTCAGAATTCTTGTTTTCCAGCTAAGAGCCTTCAGCAGAAACGTAAAGGACTTCAACTCCTATTCGTTCACGTGTAAAAAAAAGATCAAAACAAGTCAACTGGAGTGAAAAGCAGCCCCAACAATCTTCAAAAACCCTTCAAAGATGCCACTGTATGAAACAGAGCCCCACAATTCACAACCCCAGCAAATATTTCTGAAAATTCCAGTAACAGATTCATTGCAACTTCTGTTGGGGGACCTTTTAAAAACACTTTGTGTTTTTAAAAGTGATCAGAATTATTTTTGCCTTTTTTTTCATCTCTTTCAAGAGTAAAGAATAAATTAGTGGGACCCCCAAGCTCACATCTATCTCCTTCCTGACAGGCATGTCCTAGCTGCTGAAGACAATTAAGTCCATTAATTGTCAAATAATTATTGTTGGATTGGTTTGGGTGGCATGAAGTGCACACAGACAGCTTTTCAACTCAGCAGCCTTCTCTCCTGACCAGAAATTGCTGCTAAAGTGTTTCTTCAAGGCACAGACATTAGATTAGAAAGAGGAAAAAAAGAGAGCAATTTGATCTTGTGTTTCCACCTTCCTCCTCCCTGATTTTTTCTAGCCTGAGAGTTTGCCTCTGAATTCAATAGAGTAGCACTGTAAAAATAAAAGAGATTTTAGCTGACCTAATTTCAGATATTGCAAGGCTACAGCTGACATTTCTACTTTTACTTAAGCTAAAATATTACGAAAAAAACCCCAAACCTTTGCAGCGTTTCTTCTGCTTGGAAGAAAGACAAGAGCAGGAACTGTAAACCCAGATCTCCTCCTTTCAGAAAACCAAAACCAACCAACCATAAACAAAACACCCGCTTATTCCCCATCCACCCACAAGCCCAACATTTATCCTGGCAAATATCGAGCAAAAGAATAACTATGATACAAAATAATGATAATATAAATAGAATTATTAGCATTATCATTCGCAAATATTATTTCTTATTAAATATAATTTATTTATAGAAAATGAATGTATTTATTATTAAAATAATTGGAATTAAACACTGAATGGGATCATCGTCAGTACACTGAGACTTCTTTTGCTACAGAGTGATCAACATTATTGAGGTTTTTAATAATTTGGGGGGGATGGTGGTTTTTAATAAAAGGGGCTGCAGTAGATGGAAAGTATTTGCATTTCATCACAAACAAATGAGCTCCTGGGGAAGCTTCCTACTAAGTCTAGGAAGAAAGCAGCCTCACCATTTCCGAGGCAGTCTTTGCCTAAGTTTTAAGGCTACTTTGTCACATCATTAATCGCTGAGGGTGGGGAAGGTTTGATGACTCAGGAGGCCAAGCAAAACCCAGGTGAAATAAAGAAACTGGGAGCTAATGGTGCAAAATTCAGTAAGAGAGAAGAGCAACTGAGCCAACATGCACAGCTCCCACCAGGAAATGGAGCATTTGTGTGCTGGAAGCAAAGAAACAGCTTATCAATTGTGCCAGAATTGATTTTCTCCTGTTTGTACCCCTGATCGTTCTGCTGTTAAAATAACCACACTCGGCTGGAAATGGCACTTGCTAAAAGCAGGGGGGTTTTGATGTTACACGTTGGGTTACAAATGTTGTTCCTGCACATTAGAACAACTCCAGCAGCCCCAGCACTGAACAGAGTTTTCCCTTCAGCTGCAAGAAACATTATTTCAAAGTAATTATTCCTGTAAGCATTGCCTCGTTAGCTGGGTGGCATTTGCTGAGTCACCACTACCCCACCTTGGCTTAAATCCATTTCCAGATCACTTTTTCTCTATTAGAGAATTAGGGCATCGATTAAAAGTCCTTTGAGCTCAGGTTTACCCTTTCCTGAACACAGGGTGGGGGTGGAAACCAGTTCAGGTTGTATCAGGGTGCTGCAAGTTCCTCAAGAAACAGCATCTCTGAGCTGTTCCCCCCAGAAAGGGAACAAGGCTCTTGGCAAATTTATTTTCAGTGAAAGGCAGAGCTCCTCTGTTCAGACTATGGAAGAGAACATTATCAAGGATAAACCTAAGTTTTGTGATGAATAAAATTGCACGAGCCAGGCTAAAAAAAAAAAAAAAAAAGTCACCCAAACAACATATTTACAGTCCTTTTTAAGTAAGAAAGTTGCTCTGTGTTTTCAGTCTATATTAATGAACTATAGATGCACATGTAAGTGTGGAAAAGTATTTTTCCCTTCATCTGAATCACCTGGAACTAAAAGGGTATGATCTGAATACCCTTGGGATAAAGACATGAACACAGAATTTTGTCATGTAAGTGCAAAGGAACAAAAATTGTTGAAATCAGTTTTCCTGTTCTGAAGATCAGACTGTCTGTTACCATCCTGGCTGGGGCATCCCTGCCACGTGTTCCACACCCTTCAGCATCACTGAATTGTAACTAGAAACGGGTATTCAACCAAAAATCCCCATTTTGTTTCCATCAAAGATGCCTTTTTGCACGAACATTATGTTGCCAGCGTGGGTACAAATAAGATGACAGTAAAAAGTGTTGCTTTAGATTTTCAGCCTGCCCTGAGTGGTCTTGTTTCACCCCAGAAGGGACAGAGCCCCCCCACGCTCCCATCATCCTGCTTCCCCCCCAACAGCTTATTCCCATGCCAGAGGACATCCCACTGCCCTGCAGCCTCTCCTCCATCAAACAGAGCATTTCCCTCCTCAAACAGCCACCTCCAAGGTCAATATTGCAAAGCCTAATGGTGCCACTCCTCTGCTGCAATAAATGATTAAAAAGCAAGCTAATTGTAGCCAGGCACAGATCAAATATCTGAAATATGAGCAGCTCGAACGCTCCACTTCAGTGTCAGGAATGACAGGGATAATGACAGGCTGGAAAAGGGGAGAAAATTAAATTAGCTCTCTTGGACATCACGGGCATCAAATGTAACGTGGGGTTGGGCTGGGGGATGGAAGGGAATGAAAGGACATTTGGAGAGCAATTAGTAGAGCAAGAAAAATAGGCTTTCGACTCGATAGCAAAAACCAAAGCAAAGCCTTCTATCCTGCTTCAATTTCTAATGAAAGTAAAACTACTGGATTTCAGAACTGCCAAAATAAAGGCTTCTAAAAGAAAATCCAGCTACAAAAATCATAAATATGAGCAATTACAATTTACTTACATGGAGGGTTTAAGTGCCACGCACGAGCAACTTCACTACAGACACTCTGAAACCATACTCAGTTTTTACTTATCCCACTCGTTGTTCTTAAGAGTATTTAAGAAGAAGTCTGACAGCCTTTGCCCTTCAACTTCTATAAATTGTTCAGAACAATAAATTCTAGTCAATTCTCCAGGTCTGGAATTTTTTATTACTATGGATCACTGGCAGAACACATTTCTGGTATCTTGTAATTAAATTCAACCAAAATTCTGTGAGGAGGAACATGAGCTACTGGTGCCACGTTTCAGGGTTCCTGAAGTCTTCTTTCTCCAGAAAACCCTCATTGTGCATCTTTTCCCAAGTTTTTGGTCAGACCTGTATACAGTCCATTAATAAGTCTCTCAAACTCCTGTTCCAACCATGACTGCTGATTTACAAACAAAGCAAAGTAAAGTTTGTTAAAGCTTGTTCAGTGATTAAGACAAAACAAAATTTTTATGCTGAAGTCTCACACTGAATAATCATAACTTAAGCTTTTCTCTTGCTTAGTAGATCAAGAGCTTTGTAAAATAAAACCATCGGTGGAAGCTGAAACCGTGAAACGTTCCCAGGTCTTTCTTTCTTGTAACTTTTCTTTCCTACCAAACTACTTTTTCCTGTCAAAAATCCGGGTTAAAATGTTAGCACAGGCTCATCCCACCCCTCCCACAGCTCCACCCCCCTCAGCCCAAAGCTTACCTTCATCATTCTGGGCCAGAGCAGCTGCCAGGACAGCAGTGAGTGCAGTCCCCACGGAGAGCCATTGCCAGAGACAAAGCTGCTGGACCATTTTCTGTCACACTTCACTCCAGGCAGATCTGGAAGAGAGAGATTCGATCCCCACATTAGTCAACCCACCTGCTCCAGGGGGAGTGATTACAAACTCTTTCCCAGGGGATGTGTAGTCTCTAAGACCAGGGCACTGTTTCTGCAATAAAACCAGAAAATTAGCAAGGTTAACCCCATCAACATCAATACATATGCAGGCACTCATTCACTTGGTAACTATGCACACACAGCCCTCCAAGGAAAGAAAATGCAAGTTTCTTGCTTAAATCAGGTCTGATTTCCCTAATTAACATGCACTAAGGTATTTATGCCATCCTTCCTGCTTTAGCCTTCTGCTTTAAAGCACTTTGGAGAAGCGGCTGGAGCAGAGAAATTCCATTTATTAAAACCAGTGTTCCACAAGTCCAGAGGGACCCAGGATTCCAAGGCATCACCCAGGAAAAACACGAGTGACCCCCAAAGATGGTCTTCTTTAATGAGACACTGTTGATTTGTGTCCAGGAAAATGGGAAAAACAAACAACAACAACAACCCACCAAAAATGCCTGAAACTAGGAAAATAAACTGGCCAAGACAGGTCTGGCTGAACTCCAGGGCATATTTAGAGTGAGTAGCATTAGGAAGTTCTGGAAAGCTCTGGTTTATGGCTCCAATAAAGAGAATTTGCATATTTCTGTAGCTCGGAATTAAATTATTTAAAAATATTCCTTCAAATTCAAAGAAAGGTTGTGATAAATTCAATGGACTTGTCTGGAGAGAGACTTTCAGCAATAAGAAAACAAGCTGTTGTGTAAAAAGGGTTGAAGTGCTGCCAGTTTTCCCAAGCAAAGCACTTCACCTGGATTTCATGGCCACTTTCTGCTTGGACCTTTCTCTGGGGGTTCCAAAACTGCTGTATTTGATTCCAAGGCAAAAAACCAGCTTGGTACCCCCCCACCTAAAGCCTCAGCATTCCCACATCCCATCCTCTGCCAGCCAGGCACCAGGGATGTGCTGTTTCCCTGCACAAGCTCACAGCAAACACAAACGTCTGGGCAGCATCAAATTCACCCAAACACCCAGAAATACCCACTCAGGGCATAAAAACAGCCTCTTACATCACTCTCAAGAGTTATCCAAGCCACAGGGAAGCAGGACTTCCACTTCCAACAAAAACAGGTGATAGCTCCATGGGACAAGCCAAGAATTTCTCAAAGAGCTGAATTTATTACGAATCGTATCTTGCAAAGCAAGATATGTGCATTCAGAGTTTTGGAGGAAAATCTGTGTTTTTTTTTTAAAAAAGGATGAGGGAAACAAGCAGTGAATTTTAATAAACCAGATAGAGTGGCCCATGTTTACTTAAATATTGAAGGTGGTTGACACTATCTGTTTCAGATATATAAATATATATATATTTACACACACACATATATATATGTATATACATATATATATATATACACACACATATAGTTAGTTTGCTTCCAGGAAATCTCCTATAGGTGGGATCTCAAGGTTTTTCCCAACCTTAATGGTTCTATCCTATGATCTGAGGCTCCCTTACACAGCAAGCAGAGCTTTTTTTTTCTTTGCAAAGGACACAGATCACAGTTGACTTTTTGCCTTCCAGTGGATTTTAATACCAACATTCACTGTTCCAAAAGCTGTAAAAAGAAAGGGGAGCAGCAAAACACCACTTGAATCCCACACTGCACATGTTGCTCCTCTCTCATCTGGGGGTTAAAGGTGAAGAGAGGCTTTTCCAATCTCCATCTCTGCTCAGGTCAGACTCTTCCCACCCTGTCCAGCAGCAGGAGGTCTCTGCAGGCAGCTGGAGCAGGCAGCAGTTCCAGGAAGAACTTTAATATTAGGCATTGAAGAGGGATGCAGCCTGTGCCTGAGTGAAGCAGTGGCACAGATCTCATGGCACTGCTCGTTTTCATTTCCACCAGGCAGAGCAGCTCAGGGTTTCAGAATTCAATGATTCAACCATACAAAAGCACCCACCTTCCTCCTCTCTCCTCTTTCTCCTCCCCCTCTCTCTTCCTTCTCTTCCCCTTGCACTTCTCCTGCCTTTCTGTCCCCAACCCCAGCAGAGAATCAGTCACAGAACCACTAAGGTTGGAAAAGACCTCCAAGATCCCCAGGCCCAGCTGTCAACCAGCACCACCCTGTTCACCACTAAACCTTGCCCCAAATGCCACATCCACACAGGTTTGGAACACTTCCAGGGGTGATGACTCCACCACTGCCCTGGCCAGTCTGTTCCAATGCTTTATAACCCTTTCCATGAAGAATTTTTCCCTAAAATCCAATTTAAGCCTGCCCTGGTGCAACTTGAGGCCATTTCCTCTCATCTTGTCACCTGCTACCTGGGAGAAGAGACAAAACTCCCCCCACCTCACTACAAGCTCCTTTCAGGGAGTTGTAGAGAACAACCTCAGAGAGGAGAGAGGAATCCCAACATCTTCAATGTGAATTCGTGTCAAATGTGAAATTAGGGGCAGTTCAGATGAGAACTTCAGACCTTCCTAAAGGGCCTATTATTCCCATACATGTGAGGAGACCGGAATTGCTCTCCAAGATCCCACTATCCATAGGATAAAAGCTATTTAAAAGGCTTGACACAGCTATGAAAAGGAAGCAACAAACCCATAAAATATGTCAGCAATAACCTGACAAGGCTGTTACCTGCTGAGAAAAAGAGCAGCTGGTTCTTTCTTGGAGACAAATAAAAGTAATCCTAGAATATCCTGAGCTGGAAGGGACCCACAAGGATCATCCAAGTCCAACTCCTGGCCCTGCCCAGACACCCCAACAATCCCACCCTGTCCCTCAGAGCTTTGTCCAAACCCTCCTGGAGCTCTGGCAGCCTTGGGGCTGTGCCCACTGCCCTGGGGAGCCTGGGCAGTGCCAACCACCCTCTGGGGGAAGAACCTTTCCCTGAGATCCAACCTGACCCTGCCCTGGCACAGCTTCCTTGAGAAGCCCACTCAGCAATATTTCCAGTGTTGCTCAAAAGGGGTTTTGCCCTCCCTTTTGCTTCCCAAAATGCTCATTTAATCACTGTCATCCAGATTTCCCCTTGGCCAACTAAGGTCCTTCTGGATTTTGCAATTGTGCCTTCAAACAACACAAAAATCACTTCCACCATAATATATTCCAACCTTTTACATCTCAAACTCCAGAAATGGAAAGTTCAGGAGACCGCCTTGGTTTCTTCAGGTCAGCCAAGGGAAAAAAAAAAAAAAAAATCACATCCATGTGCAGATTAAAGGTGTTACAAGAGCAAGAAAGAAGAGCTCAGCCCCACTTCAGAGGCCTCTGATATTTTATTTCACAACCTTGAGAAAAACTCCAGCTTTCCAATCACGATGTGCTATTTTAGAAAGTTATTCAGAGCTCAGCTGACACCCTTGAGTTGAGTCTGCTCCTGAGAGATTTTTAGGACAGAATCTTGGCAGATTTATTTTTGATTTTGATGAAATGTCAAGTTACCCACGAGGAGAGCAACACTGCTGCTCCCAGAATAAGCAGCTCCATATGCAACTGGAATACAAGAGAATAAAAATTGGCCCCTGTTTTTCCTTCAATTTGTACCAGAAAAAAAAAAAAAAAAAAAAACAAACCACAGAAAACCAAACTTAAAAAAACCCAAAAAAGCCCACCAAAAAAACCCAATAAAAACCCACATTAAATAAAAACCATAAAAAACCCAAACTACCTCAAAAACAAACAAAAAAAGGCCAAAAAACAAACCCACAAAAAAACCCAAAACCCCACAATAAAACAAAAAAAAACCCCAAACAAGCAAGCAAAAAAAAAACCCACAAAAAGAAAAATACCAAGTATAGAAAATGACAATCCTGAGTTGAATTATGAATTGATGAGAGAGGGAAGATCTGTAAAATAAAGACATACAATATGTCTACAAGACTTGGGATTTTCCTGGAAAATATTCTCATGTTGTGACAGAAGAATTTGAAATTTTAAGAGGGGATAAACATAAATTAAAAATCCCACTGAATATAAAATATCACTTATGACATCCAAGCACCTTGGATATGGTCAATAATGACATTATGGTAACCTCAAATAATTACTTACTTTTAAATCTGGTGTTACCACACTACTTAAAACACTGCATTCATATGAAGCTGAGCGGGGAAATATAAATAAATAACCAGGTATGGTTGGGGTAAAAAGTATTTTTCAATGCTTGTACAAAATTGTTCTTGGTATGGAAATAAAATCTGAATTTTTGAAGTTTTTTGAAATAAGTACAGGCTAACACAGTCTAAAGCCACCTGTTGGGTGGAACAAACTCTTTATAAAAGTTACACTGGCAGAGAAAGGCAGGCCAGGGAAGAAAATATTCAAAGTTGTTGACATGGTTAGGAGGTAACAGAACAAAAAACTAGTGTACAAATAGCAAATCCTTACCCACACTGATCTGTGATAAACTCCTGATCCAAAATCAGAACTGAAATTCCAGCAGAACGCTGTGTTTCAGTAAATCAGAATTACAGATCCATAGAATGGTTTGGGTTGGAAGGGACCCAAAAGATCGTCCACTTCCACCCCCCTGCCATGGGCAGGGACACCTCCCACTAGCCCAGGTTGCTCCAAGCCCTGTCCAACCTGGCCTTGGACACTTCCAGGGATCCAGGGGCAGCCACAGCTTCTCTGGGCAACCTGTGCCAGGGCCTCCCCATCCTCACAGCCAGGAATTCCTTCCCCCTATCCCACCTATCCCTGCCCTCTGGCAGTGTGAAGCCATTCCCCTTGTCCAGTCCCTCCATCCCTTGTCCCAAGTCCCTCTCCAGCTCTCCTGGAGCCCCTTTAAGCCCTGGAAAGGGCTCTCAGGTCTCCCTGGATCCTTCTCTTCTCCAGGTGAACCCCCCCAGCTCTCCCAGCCTGGCTCCAGAGCAGAGGGGCTCCAGCCCTGGGAGCAGCTCCGAGTCCCCTCTGGACTCGCTCCAACAGATCAACATCTTTTTTCCCTACTTAAAATACTCAATTTGAATCAGAAAAAAAAAAAAAAGAA